GGACACTCAGGGCGACCCCGGTCCGGCCGTGGGGATGCGGGTGGTGACCGGCCCCAGGCCCCGTGGCTCACCGTCCCGGCTCTGGTTGTAGTAGCCGCGCAGGATGTCCAGGTTCAGTCGGAAACTCTGTGCGGCGACCTCGGCGTTCCGCGTGTTCACGTCCCAGTAGCCCGGCTCCTCCTGCTCCATCCACGGCGCCCGCGGCTCCATCCTCGGGCTCGCGGCGTCGCTGTCGAACCGCACGAACTGCGTGTCGTCCACGTAGCTGACGACCACGAAGCGGGGCTTGCGATGTCCGGGCCGGGACTCAGCGGTGAGGAAATGTCTCAGGGAGTGGGGGCCTGCGGGCCGGAGGGAGGGGCTGACACCCGCGACCCTCCTCCCGGCGCCGTTCGGGGCCGAGGTCTGTAGGACAGGATGGGGTCCGGGTTTGGGGGTCTGTGCGCGGGGGGCGGGCGTGGAGAGGCGCCCAACTCGGGGTCCTGCGCCCCCGCAGGTTTCCCTCGCTCCTCCCCGCAGAAGCCGTTCCCTCCCGACCCCGCACTCACCCGCCCAGGTCTGGGTCAGGGCCAGGGCCCCCCAGAGCAGCAGGAGGAGGGTTGGGGACCCCGTGAGCAGCATCCTCCAGGTCTGGGGTGTCTGAGTCCTGGTGAGTCCACAGAGACTTCTAACTGGGAACGGAGTTGACCCTGATTGGCTTCTGTAGCACCTGACACCCAATGGGAGTGAGAACTGTGGCCGCGTCACGAGTATCCAGGAAGGAGGGCCCCCGCACAGGTTGTGAGAGGGAGAAGTGAAACTGCAGGGAGGTGGGGACTCCCCTACACTGAGCTTCCCGCTTCAGTCTTCGCCCTGGGACTGGGACCCTGAGACCAGGCCTGGGACCTGGGACATTGCCCTGACAACCCCCCGCCCCTCCTGCACGGAGAGCTCTTTGTCTCATGGTCTCCCTCAGTCCTGCCCAGGGGCTGTGTGAGGAACCAGGGAGACTCCCCAGGCTGGGACCAGCCCTTTCCTCCCCTTCTCCTCCTGGAACCCCTCTCCCTGGAATGCACTCTGCCTCCCACCCTCACCTCTGCCCTGCACACTGTTAGATCGCTGACGGAGGAACGCAGGACTATCCCAGTCATTCCACCAAATAAAATATCGCTTGCTTTAATTGATTCGTTTCTTCAATGCTCTAAATTTCACTTTTGTAAAAATTTGAGATAGAGAAAGGAGATACAACTGTATTTCTAAGAATGGTGAGGGATTGCGAATTTATTCGATCATCCGCACACCAGCTGGCTGAGCCCCCGATGGCTCCAGCACCCAGTGAGGGGAGCCAGCTGTTTTTAAAGGACTTTTGGCAGGCTTTTCTGGGCGGAGAATTCTCTGTGCAGGTCTGGAGGGGAGAGATAACAGAATGTGGTCTCAGCAAAAGGGTATGTCCATAGTTAAATGGCCTGAAAAGTCAGTTCCTGGGGGAGGGGTAATAATTCAATTGCTCACCCTGTGAAAAGGGGAGGAGGGTTTTCTCTTTAATCATGTAGGAATCTTACCTGAAAACATTGGATAGAGATTCTCAAAGATAAGTCAACTGCAGTGGGGCACACAACCTGGGAATCCTGAACATCAGGAAGCTCATCTGTGAAATGAGTGATTTCAGAGGCTTTGTATGCAAAGTGTCTAAATAGCCCTGGAGTGAGAGTTACAAAGCTCCTCAATTCTCCTCCCCACACAGTATGTGTGTGACTCGGGACTGGTTATTCACCTTCCCCGGTCATTCCATCAAATAAAATATTGCTTGCTTTAATTGATTAGTTTCTTCAATGCTCTAAATTTTATTTTTGAAAAAGTTTGAGATAGAGGAAGGAGATACAACAATATTTGTCAGATTTTCTTAGTAATGCCATTAATCATAATGTTCCCTTCAGTAAGTGGAAACAAAGTTGAGAACACACAGTAGCTGGATCAAATAGTTTAAGGACTGGGCATCTCAAATGGGGCATTCCTGTTCATGTTGAATTGGTGCCAGCAACCACCAGTGGACACAGTCCTGTCCCTCAGATGTAACCTCTCACTGATTCCTGTGCTTCTTATACCCTTGAGATACTCTAAAGATTTTCAATAAGTATATACATATGTCCAACCAGAATCTTTGCCAGTTTTACATTTGCACAGAGGACTGGTACTGCATGACCCTCGGAGACTCAGGGTTAACGAAGGGTCATCTCTCACCTGTGAGGCTGTCCTTCCATTTTGAGAGCTGAATCTTATATTTTATGATTATCCTGAAATCTTGCTATATTCCTATTGATGTATATGTGGTTGTTCCAGTTTTTGCTAAAACATTAGTGTACATGTCTCCTGGAGCACAAGACAAGAAATTCCCCAGTGGGGTGGTCAGATGTGGGGATGCTGGACCCTGTGCGGCCTGTACTTTAACCAAACTCAATGATGCTCATGTGATTTAAAAGTGCCTGTGCCAATTTAAACTTTTACCAGGAATGTGGAAGACTTCATATTACTGATATAGTTGTTCTGAAAATAAACCAAACACAGATTAAGTAGAAGCATTAAGAGTTGAAAGTCAGTTCTTTGGTTTCTTGCTTTGCAGAATCACGGAGACATTTTCTTTTCAGACTATAATTAGTTCCTTTACTTTTATTCCATAGCCCTTGTATTTATACTTTTAACATATACACCCACGTAATGCTTCCCTTGGCATGACCACAGAGCATTATTTTATACGATTGGGAGATCTGATGACAAGCACAAAGGAAGGAGAGAAGGAAAGATGGAAGGGAGAAGGGAGAAAAGACAGAAAATATAGGAGAGAATAGGAGGAGAACTGGAAACAGCGAGTGCAGGTAACATTTGCCAAGTGCAAGGAAACCAAGGTGTAGACTAAGAGAAACTGCAGAGAGCTTTATTACTTATCCACTGCCGAGCACCAAACTACCCCACACTTTAGTGGCTCCAAACAATAAGCCACTAAAGAAGGGATGAAGTCGGGTGGACAGCTGGCCTGTGGAAAAGGTTTTGAAGCAGATGGTGTTGGAAAGCTGTAATTGTCCTCTAATGTGTTTAGTGTTCTCAGTGAAGCAGGGAACAGGGCACTAGCAGTAACAGATGGGGGAGGAGGGCGGCTGTTTGAGCAGAGGATGGGGGACTGAGGGAGCCGTGTGGAGACAGGATGATTGTGGGCAGTGGAGTGGACGCCTTTGTGGTCTGAGTCATGACCTTAACGTGACAGTGTCAGTGTGGCTGTATTGTTCTCCAGCCTCCTGTAGCTGCATGGGGCCAGGTGCATGGTAGGCAGAGGTAGAATTCACAAGCAAGAGTGACACAGCAAGGGAGAGCCAAGGGAGGGGTTGAAAGGGTGAATCATGGAATTTAAGAGAGTGAGGAGGGAGGAGGGGACATGGAGGGTAAGGGACAGTGAATAGATGGCTGGATCATCAGCTCGGATCCCAATGGGCTCAAAGGATTGTTGGAGTTGATGTACCTCAGGGAGGACTCATGCCTGAGAAACAGACACATTTGTGATGAATGGTTTACTGATATTGCATTACAACGTATGATAAAACCAGAGGCTTGATGCAGGAAAGTTAGTGCAAGAGTAGGCCTTCCTTCCCCTGGCTGTTAGCACCCTCCTGTACCCAGAATCCGGGCTGCTTCCCTCCAGTCCCTCTGCTATCCTTCTAGGGGACAGAAGGCCCTGGAGACCCTTGCTTTAGCCCCAAGAGTCCCAATGTGCAACTCCTCACTGTGGAAGATAGTGTAGACATTGAGATGTTGTTCCCAAATAAGAGATGACTTTATTTTGAAAACTGAGTTTGAAAAAAAAAAATCACAAAACAGAAACAGGGAATAGAAGAAAATGTGTCTACTTTTCAGGTTTCCATGGTGGTGTCCTCTAGGGACTGGAGAGAGGGGTGGCAGTGAGGAGATGGAAACCTCAGAGATGGCTCCTGGCTCCTGAGCGCTCTTCTTGGTCAATCCCTGTCCTGTCCTGACCTTGACACTGTGGAGGCCAGGACTCGCCAAAGCTTCTTCATCCCCTGCGGATGCCCCGCCTTCAAGTCAGCCCCCTCTGACCCACTCACAGCACAGCCCCTGCCAGGGCGCAGGCACCCTTGGGAGCAGCGCGTAGCGCCCCCGTGTGGCCACAGCGCTGAGGACAGAAGAGCCCGCTCTCCCCTTTCTGCTGCTCAGCCAGGACCTCCCAGGGTGTCCCTCTGCTCCCAGCACCAGAACAGGGCTTTGAACGCAGGAGGAGGGCCCTGTCCTATGTCAAATTCGGGGTGCAAAGTGTTTCTCCAAATGCACACTGATGTGGATGCTTCCTCCCCATTGAGTCACCGTGGGCGCTGCCTCAGGAAAGATCGAGGTCTCCTGGGCCATAACCGCTGGCTCCCAGGTCCAGCTGCACCCCACAATCAAACCAGGAGTCCTTAGTCTCCCGGATGGGACCTTGGACACCCAAGAACCTGTACCCTGTTCCCGCAGCTGCCTCTGGAGCTAGAGCACCTTCCTCCTGAGAACTAGTGCCGCTGTCTCAGAGCTTGGGATGGGGCTGGGGGTGGGCCTGGGATGTCAGGCCTGGAAAGGAAAGGATGCCCCTGAGGAGGTCTGATGGGGGGAGTCAGCACGCAGAGGGGTAGAGGCTTCAGGGAGGAGAGCAGCAGGGGAGGGTGTGCCATGGGGACCGCTGCTAGTGTTTGGAAGGGGTCCTCGGGTCACAGACAGCAAAGGGCTGGACTGCCCCTGTAGGGATGAGCCCTAGTCCCAAAGTCCTGGGGTTTACAGGGTCCCACTAACTGGGCCAGTACCCCTGCCAAGTCTGAGCCCAGCCCCGAGCAGCAGGCTGTCCTGGCCTTCAGTGGTCCCTTCCTCCTCTGGGACAGGACAGGCCGAGGGCCAGGCCGAGGGCCCTGAGGACCAGGCACTGAACCTGGGTGTGGCTGTGCACCTCGCTGGGTGACAAGGACCTCAGCTAGAGGACCCAGGCTGCCCATGGCCCAGCAGCGGTACCGTCACCCTCCACAGCCTGTGGCCAGAGGACCCCAGGGTCCCATCTCTTTCCTCTGTCCGGACCCACCCACCCGCCTCCTCAGACAGGACCCTCCCCACCCTGCTCTCTGATCCCCACATCCCTGAAGCTAGGAACTCTGCAGCCTCAGCCCTAAGCCTCATTCCTACCCTGACTGCCGAGCCAGGACGCTGGGGGTGCTATAGGCTGAATGTGTGTGTCCCCTCAAGATTCACAGGTGGACATCTAACCCCCATGTGATGGTATTTGGAGGTGAGGCCTTTGGAAGGTGATTGGCATATGAGTGTGGAGTCCTGATAACAGAGACTCCAGAGGGCTGCCTGGCCTTGCCCACCTGTGGGGACACAGTGAGTGGACGGGCGCCTATGAACCTGGAGTGGCCCTCACCAGACACTGACTCTGCTGGCACCTGGATTTGAACTTCTCAGCCTCTAGAACTGGGAGAAATAAGCTCTGTCATTCATAAGCCAGGCTATTGGTACTGTTTAAGCTGCTGAACAGGCAGGGGGTCCGCAAGGCAGGGGAGGGCTCCCCAGAGCCCCATGTGTGGCAGCTGAGCTATGGCTGCCTCTGAGCATCAGTCATCCCTGACCCTGAAACCTACCCAGACCCCCAACCCCAGCCCAAAGGACTCAGAGGCAGGTGGTGGGCAGGTGCCGAGCTCTGTGGGAGACCAGGGTCTGGGGGCACTGAGCATCATGCTTGAGGAGGGGCCCAGGAAACGGAGACCAGTGGGTAGGTAACAAAATCACACATCAGAGGAAAAGCATTTATGGACTGAGTTGTGTCCCCCAAAATTCACATGTTGAGGCATCAACCCTCCAATGTGACTGCATTTAGAGACAGACCTTTAAGGAGAGTCATTAAGGTTAAATGAGGTCATGGGGTGGGGCTCTAATTGGATAGGACGGGTGGTTATAAGAGAAAGATATCAGATACCTACACTCCCCGCTCCCTGCACACACAAAGGAGAGGCCATGGTAAGACATGGGGAGAAGACAGCCATCTACAAGCCAGGAAGAGGGCCCTCAACCAGAAACCACATTGCCTGGCACTTTGATCTTGGACTTGAAGCCTCCAGAATTGTGAGAAAATAAACTTGTAGTGTTTCAGCCGCCCAGTAAGTGGTGTTTGGTTATGGCAGCCCCATCGGACTGAGACAGGCTCCAAACCAAACACAGTGACCCTCCCTTCCTGCCTCTGATCAGCTGTAAGGAGCCTGGTCAGCATTTACTCACTCCTTCATCCACTACAATGTCATGAGGCCTCTGTGCCAGGCTTCACGTTAGGCCTGGTAAACATTTTATGAAAACAGACAGACGCCTGCTCTCCTGATGCTGACAGTCTGACAGGAGACACAGACAATAAGGAGAACATAGGAATAGCAGTGAATTCTATGGTCTGTGTTCCTGTTATCGACCCCTGGGTAACAAACAATCTCACAGTGAAACAACCTTTTTATTCTCTCCCGTGTTCTGGTTGACTGGGTTTTGCGGGCAGTTCTTCTGCTCCATGTCCCATGGGGTTGGGCTGCAGTCACTGGGGGCCAGACTGGTGAATTGTTCATCTATGTTTCTGTCAGTCAGTATTTAGCCTCTACAAGATGGCAAATTTGAAATTTTTTATCTCTTCACACTTTTCTTCCAATGCAAACCCCCTCCCCTCTAGCAAACACCAGTTTGTTCTCTGATTCTGGGTCTGTTTCTATTTTGTTTGTTCATTTATTTTGATTTTTAAATTCCACATATAAGTCACTTCTTTTACTTAGCATAATACTCTCTAAATCCATCATGTTGTTACAAGTGATAAGATTTCATTCTTTTTATGGCTGAGTAATATTCCATTATATATGACTAGATCTTCTCTGACTGTATTTACTGCCAATGTCTCCTTTTATATCCATTAATATTTGCTTTACATATGCATTTAGGTTCTCCTATGTTGAGTGCATAATGTTTACAAGGGTTATGTCCTCTGATTGGATTGACCCCGTCATCATTATGAAATGTTCTTGTCTTTTATTATAACCTTTGTTTTAAAATTTATTTTATCTGCTGGTAGTGTTGTTACCCCAGCTTTCAGTTTGTTTGTTCCTATTTGCATGAAATATCTCTTTGATCTCTTTACTTTCGGTCTGTGTTTTTCAATCTGAAGTCAGTCTCATGTAGACAGCATACATAAGGGTCTTCTTTTCTCATCTGTTCAGCTATCAATAGGTATGTAGTTTTTAACCATTTTATTATTAAGATTTATGTCTTTTTCCCCTTATTTTTTTAAAAAGAAGTTTCTTTATCATTTCTTGTAATACTAATTTGGTGAGTGCAGGCAAAAAATTCCTCCCCATCCCACAAAGAGCGAGTAGCCCTCCAGATGGGATGTCCTTTATTGGTCACTTGATTTCCAGCCAAACCTGAGTGCCTGCAAAGTACCAAAGTCCCAGTCTCAGATCTTTGCTCCATTTGAAATTTGTCATCCTTATCCATCCCTCACCCAACACCTGAACTCTCTTTCGACAGGACAAGATTCCCACACACAAACAGACTTGGTGAGAGGCAGATATCATGTCCCTCCATAAGACAGGAAAGCCCATGTCCCCCAACATTCATGCATCTACACACGTAACCCCATGCCGGGCTCTGACTCAGAACCAGGTAACAGAGTGGCTGGGACTGCGCAGGCTGCATCTGGGAAGGGTGGTGGGAGTGACAGTAACAGTGCAGGTTTCAGGAGCCGCAGAGGGAGCCATCCTCGCCACAGGGCCAGGGTTCAGCATCAGGGGTCAGTGGTGTGAGCAGTGGCATCTGTGCCCAGCAACAGGGTGGTGGCTCCTGTATAGGACCCAACCTGGGCTGAATGTGGATCAGTTTCTGGCTGTGTGACCTGAAGCCTGTGGTTTTCCCCCAAATACTACTAGACCCCAATATCATATATATACTACTTTATATCTAAACTAGAAAAGATTGGGATTCCATTGTTTGCTCCAAGAACTATATCTGGGGAAGAATTTCAGAGAGCAAGCCTTCAGAGATGTTATTATTGGGACCCAGGGCCCATGTCCTAACTCTTCCACCTGACTCTACCCCATGGCAGAGAGAATGACACATAACTCCCAACATCATGTCTCATAACAGGTGATACATGCCCTCCCTTCTCTTTAGGAGGAAAAATGAAACCTTTAAATGTGGACGTAAAACCCCTCCCCACCCTGAGCTCTGGCACTGGCCTCAGTGGTTCCCAGGCTGGCTGAGCCCAGGATTGCTTGTCTTCTTACAATTCCCAGGCTGGCTGAGCCCCAGGATTGCTTGTGAGCTTCTTACAAAACCCCCAGCCTCTCCCAGACCCACAGACCCAGAGAATTAGGCACAGACAGGAACCACCTGTGTAACACCCTGCAGGCAAGGCTGACACACAGACACGGGGATCCTGGTCTGTGTTCTCGCTGCTCAGTGTGGGATCTGAAGACCAGCAGCATCAGCACCTTGGGATAGAGCCAGACTCTCACACTCTGCTCCAGATGTCCTGAGCCAACAAGAGGTCTAGGTGGTTCCTGCGCACAGGAACGCTGGGGGCTCCATAGTCCCTGTGCCTTCTAGACCCGGAGACAGAAGAGTGCAGTCGGCTCTGGTGTGTGGTCTGATCAGACGTCTCAGCACTGGGTCCTGGGTTTAGTCCTTCTTCCTTGGTCTCCTGTAGCCATGAGTCCCTTGGTGACCTCGTCCATTCTCTAGGCTCTAAATTTATTTACCTGTGTTGCCTCCCAAGTCTGTTTCTCCAACCAACATCTCTCCTGATCTCCAGACTCATCTGTCCAACTGCCAATCCGACAGCTCCCTTGTGTTGCTAACACACACTCAGCTCCAGCATCTCTTAAAATGAAGGCCTGTGATGCCCCTCAAATAGGCTACTCCAGAGTCTCCCCATCTCTGCTAATGGGAACTCTGTCTCTCTACGTGTACCCTCTGAGATTTTTGGTGACCTTGATTCCTCTCTCACATGCCCCAGATTAACCCTTAGGCTCGCTCTAAAGTCCATCTTCAGAAGGAACCAGAATCCCAGCATGCCCACTATTTCCACCGTTCAGCCCCTGGAAGCCTCTCCAGCCTGGAGCCCCTCACAGACTCCTCCTGCCATCCCACTGCCCCCTCACCTCCCACGTGTTCTCAGCTCAGCAGACACAGTGATCCTTTCAAGGGGGTATCAGGCCACGCCTCTCCTGCTCTGAACTCTCCTGTGGCTCCCTCCTCACTCAGAGCACAGTCCCTACCTTTCTTCCATCCTTCAGGCCCAGGTCTGGCCTTGCCTTTATCTCATCTCCATTGCTCTCTGTTCCATTCCCACACTGGCCTCCTCCCTCTGAAACCAAACACACTCCTGCCCCAGGCCATTCCCACTGGAGGTGCCACTGCTGGAAAGGACTTCCTTCCGACATCCTCAGGGATAATCCCTCATGTCCTTCAATGCTTTCCACAAGCTCACCTTCCCAGGGAGGCCCCCAATGATTGGCCACCCAAATCAAACAGACATGTCCTAGCTGGTTTAGCTCAGTGAATAGAGCATTGGCCTGCGGACTGAAGAGTCGTAGGTTGGATTCTGAAACAAGGACACATGCCTGGGTTGCAGGCTCGACCCCCAGCAGGAGACGTCCAGGAGGCAGCTGATCAATGATTCTCTCCCATCTTGATGTTTCTATCTCTCTCTCCCTCTCCCTTTCTCTCTGAAATCAATAATATATATATTAAAAACAAACAAAAATGCCCATGTTCCTCCCCCCGCCCCCTCAGTAATACTTGGGATTGCCTTCCCCACGTTTTTTCCCAGAACACAGCCCTTGTCACACAGACGCCTTCCTTGTTTACTGTGCTTTTTCATTCACTGTTTCTTCCCACACAACGTATGTCCCACAGGAAAGCAGCTTTTCTGATTTTCCTTCAATGTTCCCCACATGCAGAAACACTGTCACACATCTGGCACACAACTAATATTGGTTCATGAATGGTCAGTGTAGAGCACCTCCCTATGCTAGAGACACGTCTTCATTAATGTGGCCTCAGACCACAGCTGTCCTGTGGCAGCTACAGCACAGCGAGCTCTCACATTGACATCAGGGCACCTGCTCTTCCCACAGAGCGGCTCTCCCTGAATCTACAGGAGACTCTGCTTCAGAAATCCCAGGGTTCCCACTGCAGCCAGCACTAGAAGGAAGGGCAGGGAGACAGGGTGGGGGAGCAGAGCAGAATTCCAACAGGAACTTATCTAAGATGACCAATTACAGGACCCCTCCTCCCTGCTAATTCCAGGACCTGGTTCCTTGGAGAGTTTAGGAAAAGATGGAAAGAACAATCAATTCCTAGAAGGAGCCAAGAGAAGGATGAGAATGAAAATTCATCTCTCCATGCCACGGACTCTTATGTGCAGGGACCCCTGAGCCTTGTGGGCACATTGACAGACAACTCACCTCTGGCTGATGCTGGATAGGGGACACTCAAAAGAAGGATGAGACCAAAACTCAAAACAAGAACGAAAAAGGCACAATCCTCTACACAAACAAAGAAACAACAAATAAGTCCCAGAGGCTGAGGGCTGAGGGCAGGACCCAGGCCTGAGCCTAGGCTGACCCAGTCACAGGAAGGCCTTGCTGCCCACGGGTTTGGAGATGTTCCTCATTAGGACAATTTACAAGGCCTGCGGAGGTTTGAGTCCCTGTGATGGAAAGTCCTGGTGGGACAAGGTTCTACTGAAGGGAGAAGGACAAAGGAGCAGAGAGGTGACTCAGCTGAAGAGACCAGGGAGCCAACTGAGCACAGTCCTGACCACACTCGGTCCTCACAGCCTCTCCTGCCCCCCCTGCAACAGCCTCAGCACAGCAAACACACAGGACCTGAGAAGTTCTCAGTGCTTTCATTTATTTCTCAAATTTTAGAATGTTCTTCTTTAATTTTTTAAAAAATATGTTTTTATTGATTTTCAGAGAGAGAGGAAAGAGGAGGGAGAGGCAGATGGAAACATCAATGATGAAAGAGAAACATCCATTGGCTTCACTTGCATGACCCTTGTGGGAACTGAGCTGAAATCTGGGCATATGCCCTGAAAGGGACCAACCGGGATGGGTGGACACTCAGCCACTGAAGCACACCAGCCGGGCTGTTCTCCTTTAAGGAACCCATTACCCCTTCATGGCAAGAAGTGAAGAAGAATGCAAATCCAGACTCTTATTTCAATCAGGCAGTAAGAGGCTGCAGCTTAGAGCACCAAGAAGTAAAAACGAATGGGGAGGGCCCAGCCCCACCTCTACTGGACAGGAAAGGCTGGGGAGGGGGTGTGGTGGGCAGGGGTGGGCCAGCCTCCCACCTCCTCATGTTATGCTGATAGGAGCACACACATTCAGATGCCGTTTGCAGAAAGAAATCAGAGGTTCTTGAATCACAAAGTAGGAGCTTGAACAAATCTCCCATCACTCAGTCCCCACCAACTGCCTCACGCTGTGGAAGAAAATGATCATGAACAAAGTCAGTTCAGTGGCTGTAAGTAGTGACATTCTCAACAGCCCACCACAGGCTCACTACGTCCCAAAGAGTCCCCATCAACCAGTCCTCTCCCTTTTGCCCCAACCCCTGCTATCATTAGAATCTCACCTTTACAAGCTGTGAGAGATACATCAGAGCCCTGGGCACTATCGCTGCCTGAGGTAGAACAAAACAGGATGGGGTCAGAGCCCCTAGGAGAGGAGACTAAGGGTGGAACTATGGGGGTGAGGTCCCTCATGGGATCCACTCTGTACTATCACAGGATCTCAGGGGTCACCCGCCATACTCACTGGCAGCCTGAGCATAGCTCCCTCCTTTTCCACCTGTGGAAGAAAACATCCTGTGAGGACCCAGGGCCATGAGGTCCTAAAGGAACTCCTAGTCTTGGAGCCCAGAGAAGGTTCCAGAACTGTGTCTACAGACCCAGGGCAGGATTAGGAAACTTGAAGAAACTACACGTGTGGGGACTGGACCAACCACCCTCCTGGAGGTCTGTCCTCAGCAGGGACCTTCCTCCCTGACCTGGGAGTGCTGGGAACCAGGCCCCATCACTAGAATCATCAAGGTGATGAATCTGTCCCTCATTTCCACACGTGTCTTACTAAAGAGTGAGTGTCAGCAAATCAGGCCCCACATGGGCAACCACACGTGTGGGGATGGTACTTGCCATTAATGAAGCAGAACACACTTCTACCTGGGCTGGCAACCCCCAGTGAGACAAGAAACTCAGGCCCCACCCCTTCCCTACCTGAGCGCTTCCTCCTCCACATCACAGCTCCAG